TTACCTGGTATTTTCTGACGAATCTTGCTCAGTCTTTATAAACATTGTAACGTTTACCTCATTTCAATCGACCAGTAGACATCGACAGTCTTCAATTTGCATTTTTCATTGTGTTCTGGTATCTGTTTGTTATATAGAATAGTGTTAATTATTGTAAATTGTATGTATTGTATAACTTAATACTTAGTTTATCGACATGCATGCTACATGGCGAGGTGATTGTATAACTTGCATAATTTACTAAGGGGTAAATTCCTCCTGTGTCGAGTAATAAGCAATCAGATGGGCTCAATACGGCGTACTGTTTGTCGCCTTTGTCTCTAAGATGGGTTTAACTGTGGTATTGTGCAGTGGATTGGTATTTTTAACATATTGTATCTATTTACAATTTTTTGTAGGTGTAATCACGTGTGTGTCTTTCGTTCATCTTTAGTGTATCAAAAGCAAAGCAATGGCATTCCTGATCTATCGTTCCATGTCTAGCAACTGTTTGTATGTAGCTTTGAGTGAATGTATTGACAAAATTAGAATTAAATTTGATAACAATAGTAAAGCATAAAGTATATCAAATCAAATGTCTCTTTTGCAGTTAATATATAATGTATACTTTTGTATTATCCTTTCAGAATATTCTGTCGGAAAAAAATAAACGTTCAACAATGATCTGTTGTGAAAACGATTTAAATATGTTCGTCAATAAATTTACAGATGGTTACATTTAGACGTCCGCATGAATATGTATGCAATATTATGTATATAGTCTTTTCTGACGGATAGTTATCTTATGGGGATGAATATTTTATAGGACACCTGGAATAGCCGGTGACGGTGGGCCTTTCTCCTTTGGGGGTAAGTTGAAGCTATCATGGACGAATTCCTCAAATTTTGTTAACTGGTACCCATGTTCCTCTGCAAAAGCTCTTACGACAATATCTGTTGTTTGCTTAGCCTTTCCTGCGACATATTTTATGTCAGACTCAACGTACCGCATGCACGATTTCAAAGATGACTCCCCGCAGAGGACGCATTGGATATAGCTGTTTGTATGTCACAATCAAAAACGGCAATTTGTCCGTTTATATTACGAACGTCGTTGTGGATGTCTGAGCTATTACCAAAGCGGTCATCGTTAAGACGCGAAACCACAACAACTGTCGTCGATTGACTTTGAAATGTTGGTAAAATCCATGGATGGCGACTTCCTGAATTTTTTCAAACACCAATTTTTAAGCCAGGAGATGGATACTGTCGACAAAGTACAACAGGGGAACGTTTTGGGAATGGTCAATATCTTTTGTTTTGAAGTCTTTTTGATTCTTGATTCCCTTTTGCTTTATCTGTATGTCGATCCTGCCGATGATTTTAAGATATACGAGATTATCTATGATTTTACGATTTTTTTTAAATGGTTACACAAATACACAAATAATACAATGACATGATTCTGTAAAATGATTTGTTAAACCAAGGAAACTAAATATTGGCATTGAAATTTACATTTAGTATGAGATTTTTGCAAAACGTCAATTAATAAAGTGAAAAATTTAACGAAATATTAAGTGATGGGAAACCTTTTATAGAACTGAAAACGAGTCTTTCATGCTGTCACGTCAATATCAGTTACATATGTTTTGTCTCTGCTAAACAAAAAATGAGACAGTTCAATTTGCTATGGTCTAGATTTTAACATTATTATTGAAGGACCATACAGTAAAATAAATTCAATAAATGAAAATTATTTAAGCAAATAAGTACACATTCCAATAGAGTACTAGTCGGCGTGTTCAATAAAAAAGTTTATCGACGTTTTTATCAAAACGCGCTAGGGTACATCATTAGAGAATAATTAGGGAACAGTGCTTTATTTACTCTGTGCTTTAAATGGAATTGAATGCTTTGATATGATGTAAATAGAGGTTACACAACGAGTGGTTGTTGAATATGGTATTTATTTCACTCGAGTTAGTTAATTTTCAAAAGTTACAAAAGACACGAGCTTTAGCGAGTGTCTTTCTGTAACTTTTGAAAATTAACTAACGAGAGTGAAATAAATACCATACTCAACAACCACGAGTCGTGTGATCTGTTTCTACCACAATATCATGATCAGTCGGAAATAGCATACACACATGTGTTTGTTGACAAGGCTGGCGTAGTGATATGACCCATATGTAAAAAGTCACTCATTAATATTCAAAAATGACTTCTTTTTTTTACAAATTTAATTATTGTCAAAATTAATGTTTCGGCAACAACTTCGTGAAAAAATAAAATAGATGAACGACTTTAAATATTGAGAGTAGCAGTATTGCATTAATTTATATAAATTAACCACGGACTATATGCGCGTAAGCATATCGTACGAAGTCTGCCTCCCGCCAAGTGATGAACCGTTGTAGACGAACTTATCGCTGTCAATATCCAAAACCATTGGCCTACGTTTCTAGGCCTACGTTTCTTCGTGACGGTTCTATGGTTGACGTTTATAGTGAAAGTTCAGCCATAGTCAGACCGTCTAAATAGCGATAACGGGACGTTGGGAGAACGAAATATTTCCCGACACTGTGACAGATCTTGTTTTGGTTTCACGACCTGGACACGCGACGGTGTGACGTCGAAACGATATCGAGCGTCTGTAGCAATTTTGCCTGAAACTAGCGATCAAATCTTTAAGTATCATCTTTAAATATTGCCTTAATAACCACCCTTTCCACATAACCTCACAACGTCATCAACATTTGTCGGATGTTGACAGCCGACGACGTAAACAAAACAGCAGGTGGCAAAAAGCACGTGGAAAAAGTCTTCCCGGTCAAAGTTCATCTTCTCGACCAATCAAAACTCTCGAAGGTCATATACCACGTGTGGTATATAACTCATATTTATCAAACAGTCTGCGTGTTAATACAATGATCTGAGAGTGGAATAACACAGCGTATTGTGGTAGAAACATGATAAACGGAAACAACGTATTGTATAAACTATTACAGCGGTGATGAGGGAGTGATATACAAATCGAAACATGTTTGATCTGCTGTCATACGACACAATTAAGATGCTTGGAAAAACCGATACATAAATGATAAGAAAACACTTATCGATATAATAACCATGTGTAAATAATTTGCAAATGTAAGGTTTTCAAAGCAAATGCGATTTATATTGGCATGAACTTCAGCACATTGTTGGTATAGCATTAACATTTGCATGCGCATGGTAGTTTTGTTCTGTACCGGTTGCAGTAATTTTCTATTTTGTCGCAGAGCAAAACAATGCAAATAATTTAGGTTCCTTCTCTTCTTTTACTTCAAGTTATATCCAATCAAAAGTGCACTTCCAAATAAACTTATAATGCCTCAAAAGTCATCTAAGATGACAACGATCGAATATTTGAGCAATAGTTAGAAAGTTAATTTTCGAAAATTTGAACGTGATTAGCAAAATATCATCCAAGCATCGGAAAAATCGTTATTTGCCTATGAAAATCAGAGCAAGGGTTTGCTGTTTTCAAAGTGAGCTAAATCAACGAAAACAATATCATTTCTGTTTTTTAACATGTGTTAATTCTATAAGCAAATAGAAAAGAAGGAAAAATAACCAAAATTCATTCGACACTTGATTGTTTATATGAAACGGAGGATTAAGTCAGGGGTTTCATTCAGGTAGTTTTCAAATGAAACGTGTTTTGTTTTCTGAATAATTTCTTTTGTAATATATATTTTGTGTACAACTTTTCTCATTTGAGTACACTCGCATAAAATGCATATTCACCACACACTTTCCTTTCGTTTAGTACTGAGTTATGGCTTCTGGACACATCTGGACTTGTAAATTTGAACTCAAAATCTTTATTGGAAAGTCAATTATTGAGATGTGTTTAATTTTGTCATTATGATAACAATATCTGACCATTGTGTTCAGTTGTTTAGTTTTGGTGTATTTAGTTTTGTAGCTGCCCCTTATTATTGTTGTAAGGCTCGATATGAATTCGCCGTTGCTGGGCCGTTAACAATACTTTCACAAACGCACAAAAAAGATCATTTTCCTACCGTAGACCGACGCAAGCGAACGGTAGAACTTGTGCATTATACCTAACATTTTTCAAACTGTCGTAGGCTAAGCTATTGTCTGTATACATTATGTCTTTTCAAAAACAGGAACGTTCATTTCGACCGTTTTAATTGGATACTGTTACTAACTACACATTGATAATATTCCTGGGAACAAGACATGTGATGCAGATTGATCCACGGTAAATGAGCGCCTGTAAAATCGAACATGGGTAACTGTGAAAGCTGATTTCATATAAATACTAGTATCTGAAATAGAGACCATAATCAAAACAGGCAGGGAAAAGTAGAAAATATAACAACAAATAAGTGAAATAACAAAAAGGAAAACAGAAAAACTTAAATCGACAAGGCGAGTGAATGATAACATCAATGACAGAAAATCAAAACAGTGCAAATGAACGATAACTTCAAGAGGAGAGATAATTTTAACAGCAGAGAGAGCTAACGATAGTGTCAGGATGAAAGCAGATTAACACCGTCAAATGTGAAATACAACAGCAACGACGACCGTTACTTAAACCAAACCAGGAGTGTACACGGTAAGATTAAAGAGGAATAATTAATACTGCAAGAAGGGTGAACAATAACATCAGCGAATACATTAACTTAAAACAGCAGGGCGAGCTTATGATAATAACAAGGATTACAGTGAATTTAAACAGCGAAAGTGAACGATAACATTAAAGGGAACAGTAAATTGAAATCATAGAGGATAGTGAATTATACAAAGAAGGAATCAGAGTGCAACAGCAAAAGAACAAATGCATATGTTCGAAAGGTGTATAATATTTCAACAAAGTATTTAGAACACTACACAGTTATACCAGGTAGACAGCAGTGCACTTAAATACTTACTACCATTGTTTTGTACAGAAGTATCTACCATAATTAATCATGATGGACATTTGTATACCAACCCTATTCGTCATGCTACTGTCAACACTTGCTACGGGCAATAACACTTCTGTGGGCACACAGCTTTACAGAAGCCTGCTTTTAAACTATGAGAAAAATGTCCGGCCTGGATTAGACTATAGTTACCCAACCATGGTGAAATGTCAATTTAAATTTGTAGGACTGAACAGATTTCAAGAAATAGACAGCAAACTTTCAATACAGGGCGTTTTCATAATCGAATGGTTTGATGAACGTCTCATGTGGGACCCATATGCAAACGGCAATATTTCAAGTACATTGGTTCCTCAGGAATTGCTATGGAAACCAGATATAGCCATAGCCAATGCATACTTTGGTGTTCAATTTCTTATTAAGGATGGAGTCAGTATTCGAGTAAAATACAACGGAGCATTGATGTGGGTGACTGGAGACACATTTGTAATTTATTGCGACGCTGACGTCACTTATTACCCCGTGGATTCACAAACCTGTAGTATAAACATGATAACGTGGAATTCGTATCCCTTCGAAGTTACGTTTGACAAAGTCGGTGCAGATACCACTTTTGAGCGTAATTTTTCAGCTGGTAATCCTTCATGGGACGTCAAGGATATCACAATGACTACAACAATCAACCCAGGTATCGCTACAACAGTGTTGTCCGTCAACATTAAGTTAAAACGATTACCAGAATATATCGTCGTCAATATCATACTCCCGGTTTGTTTTCTTTGTATCATCAACATTTTCGTTTTTGTCCTTCCTGCAGAATCTGGAGAGAGAATAGGATTTTCCATAACCCTGCTTCTGTCAGTCGCAGTGTTCATGACAATATTATCAGACTCTCTTCCTCAATCGTCAAGACCTCAAATCGCGACTTTGTGCTACTTCCTCTTCTCACAGTTGATGGTCAGCATACTTATGATGATCTTCACCATTTATGGACTTCGATTTTACTGGATGATGCCTGATAAGTCGATTCCAGTTTATCTGAAGCTTTTTTCTCGAATAATGGATCGGGTTTGTTTAGGAAGTCAATGCTGCAAGCTAAGCAAGCAGGTCACGTCGATAAAACCTACAACAGAACATATTCCAGACTCTGGCAAGCAAGAAAGCAACTTCAGAACTGTTCCTGAACTTGAAGAAATTCTTCCAGAACCAGATGAGTATCTTACGTGGCAGAAAATAGCAAATGATTTCGATAACTTCTGCATTATCTTCTTCATGACTCTCATCGTTGTAACAAATGCTGTTTTCTGTGAGAGACTGTCATCACAATGATTATTTTAAACTTTGGGGGAAAAATGTAATTATAAAAAATATTATTTTTGTTATTTTATTTTTTGCCACTTGGAAAGTCATACTGATACATAAGAGACATTCAAATGTTAAATACATGCATGAGAGTATCTGTAAATAATCATTTGTATCAACTTTGGTGTTGCAAACCAATTCGGGCTAGTCTTCTCTGATTTTGAAATAAGATGGCCTCTTAAAAACTAAGTCAGTGATAGCTGGCAATGTGCCAGTCATATTCCGGTGTGAAACAAAATTTCTCGATCAGAAATAGCAACACATGGATAGTCTACATCGCAAAGCTGGTCAGGTATTGCTACGTCATAGTGCGTAGAAGTTCACAAAAGGTTAAACACTGTATTGGTTGCAAGGACCGATTTCTGTTAGGAATCGTTGCCCAAGACTGTGTTTTCGTTTTTTTCTGTGCCAATTATGTTACCACTATAAAAATGTATTTCTGTAAAACTGATTTTATGACTTTTTTTACAATTCACGATCGTTAACTTCGATTTTCCTAGTAATGTTACACCAGTCTCTCCTTGACAAAACCAAAGACACCATTGCTACACTACCCGAGAGCCTTTTTAGCTATCAGTACTCATTCAAAGGTTTTTAATTGGTGATTATCTGCCTTATATATTAAAGATGAAGCAAGACATAGGAGTTTGTATTGGTTATAGTATTGTCATCATTCGCGTTATGCATCTCCCAGTGTTTCTTGTTCATGTCATGCCCTTAAATTGGACTCTCATTTTGTTGTTCATTTACAAGTTTCCGATGGCTACAAAGGTGAAATGTGGGCTTGGAAGTGTAAAGGTACTGAGTTCAACACTTTTTATTTCTATTTTCAAACGTTCAATTTTCATAGCAGAATAGTGTAAATTATATCGCAGCGTGTGGCTTTTATCGAATCCTTCTTTTCATAAAACTTGACCAAATATTTCACAACAGTGACAGTAGTAATAACATAGTTTTAATTTTTTGATACTCTTTATCATTTATTTACGAGAGCGTTTTTTTTTTTAACTGTCTATTATACAAAGATTTTCGATATATAACAATTAGAATGTATATATATATATTGGTTGTGTTTTGAGAATCGCGATTTCGGAAATAGTCCTTTACATTAAAATTATGGAATACGTAAGTGATAACAAAACCCAGAATTCGAACTCAAAATCGAAACAAGCTACCGCAAAGCGGTACACAATACACCCGCCACACGTTGAATGATCAGTTGTTTTCATCATCGAAAAATATGAAATATTTGTGAGTAATTGATGTTAAATGAGAAACATTTCAAGACACCTGGTAGATCAATTAAAACATCTTAGAATGCATGAAGTACTGCATTGATGAAAACAAGAGGAAATACTGATTCAGGAGTTATAACGCCGTTAATTACTGTCGGATAACGTTGGTTATCAAACTCCTCAAATCTTTCCTGGTAATAGACATTCTCATGAAGTTTAAAGTTGATCCGTAGAAAATAATTTGAGATTTGGAGCGGACACTGTTTCAGCAACTTATTTAAGGGGCATAATGCAGTAAATTAAAGTCGGATAATTACGGTTATTGCAATTCCGTAGAAATTTACTTGAGGAATCAACCGGACACTGTTTCATCAATTGTTTAAAGGTGCATAACTCTGTAAATTATAGTCGGATAATGATCATTATCGGGAATGTCCAAGCTCTTATGGTAATCAACCTTGTCATGACGTTTGCAGCTAAATCGTTAAAATACTCAGACACCGTTTCAGAAATTGATAAAAAATGGGCATACTGTGTAAAGTACAGTCGGATAAAGGTTATTATCGAACTTGTTAGAGAAAGATTTACGCAGAGACCATTAAAAATGAACAAGGAGAGTAAGACTATGTGATCCGGAAGGGAAAGCATATTCTGCTTCATCGATGACCCCCGCAATGTAAATCTAGGTCAAATCTAAGTAATATCACGTCCTCGAATCGAGAACTAGGGCAATGACAACAAAAACAAGACTCACTTTTATTGAATACATCGACTTTCATTTCACACAAATAAACAGCGTATGTTTCAGCGACGTGATATTTTCATGTGTTGATACAGAATTGTAGCCATCTAGTATTAGCCGCCACAATGTCATTTACCTGGTATTTTTCTGGCGAATCTTGCTCAGTTTTTTTTATAGACATTGTAACGTTTCCCTCATTTCAATCGACCAGTAGACATTGACAGTCTTCAATTTGCATTTTTTATTGTGTTCTAGTATCTGTTTGTTATTTAGAATAGTGTTAATTGTTGTAAATTGTATGTATCGTATACCTTAATACTTAGTTTATCGGCATGCATGCTACATGGCGAGGCGATTGTATAACCTGCATACTTTACTAAGGGGTAAATTCATCCTGTGTCGAGTAATAAGTAATCATATGGGCTCAATATGGCGTACTGTTTGTCGCCTTTGTCACTTAGAGTCCTAGATGGGTTTAACTGTGGTGTTGTGCAGCGGATTTGTATTTTTTACATACTGTATCTATTTACAAATTTTTGCAGATGTAATCATGTGTGTGTCTTTCGTTCATCTTTAGTGTATAAAAAGCAAAGCAATGACATTCATGATCTATCGTTCCATGTCTTACTTAGCCGCTTTCGTTCTGCCTACCTTTTGACTTTAATCACTTCGGATGTGTTAACACGGAGTATAGAGCGCTACTGACGCCAGCAGTTCTGGAAATACTTTTGGTCAAGGACAACATATTTATCCGATATTTTCCCTTTTTGATTATATTGATTTTCCTAAGGTTAGGAAGAAAAATAGAGCTGGCAGAAGAGTTGTATCTTCAATGTCATTGAAGTATCTGAATTTCTCAAACACTTTGTTATAACAAAAGAAATCATGCCGATAATATCTTCTTTGATGAATCTTTTCCTTGCTAACAAAATGCAGCTCAAGCAAAGAAGCCGCACTGAAATGGAAACAGGTACACTTATCGGCACGTGCAATTGCTAGACAGAACTTATATACCAAATGGTATGCCATGCTTTAGGTTAAGGAAAAGAATGGTTAATATATCTTTAACCTGCTATGTTTTTTGCAATATCAACAATAAATTGTCAAGCATAAAATAGAATATCAAATACAAATCAACTGAATATCATTTCAACCAAATGTACACAGGATACATAATAACATAAATTCCTTGAACGCACACAGTTCATGAACTATTTCAGTTATTTATTTTATCATTTTTCCCTGTAGGAACATTGTGGATTATTAGCAAAAAATAGCAACTGTTTGTATGTAGCTTTGAGTGAATGTATTGACAAAATTAGAATTAAATTTTAATAGAAAAGCATAATATGTCAAATAAAATGTGTCTTTTGCAGTTAATATATAATGTATACTTTTGTATTATCATTTTAGAATATTCTGTCGGAAAAAAATCAACGTTCAACAATGATCTGTAGTGAAAATGATTTAAAAATGTTCGTCAATAATTTTACGGATGGTTACATTTACACGTCCGCATGAATATGTATGCAATATTATGTATATAGTCTTTTTCTGACTATGAACATGATACAAATGATTTGTGCACGATTTTAACTATTATGGCTTTATTTTGTGTAGCATTTAAGTAATACGTTATTCATAAATATAGGAGTTTTAATTCTATTACAAAGATAAGTCTTCACTTTTTACTTCGTCAAATATTCGTATTTCTATATTTGGTTTGTGTTGTAAATAAGAAAATGTGTTTATTCGAAATGTAATGCATGATTTACCAGTATGATACATGTTTCCACCTGCCGCTTGACGAATAGGGGTATACTTAAGTAAGGAACACTTCTAGTGCAATTGATGTGTGTGAATATACAGTAAATAGTTAAAATTCTCCACGTGTACATATCATAATATTGATATAGCTATATGTATATATTTTTAACTTATGACATAATTCTGGTGTACATGTGATAACGATAAAATGTGAAAATGTAGAAATTAAAGTTTATTCATATGTTTGCTTTTAATTCAATAATACTGGTCGGTTTAAATATATAGGTATGTGAACACTAATATTGCTATAATTGTTAAAAACATCTGAAACATGTAGTAAATCAATACCTGATCTATCTGAACATATCAAACATACGGAGCTCGTAAATTTAATCTTATAAGAGATGTTAGAAATTTCCCGCTTTAAGGACCGGTTTTATAATTGTAAATCCATTGTTATCAATTTAAGACGTTTGCATTATGTCTACATTCAAATCGCCTGAAGAGCCCCAAGATGGGCGAGAGTACTAGCGAGATTTAGTCTGAGGTGTTTTGTTTTATCTTTATTTCGACGATTACTTGGACGTTTAACAATTTTTACAGCTATATTTATGTATGAAATTAATGCAAAAGAGTTCTTTTGTACTCCGCTAGTTTGTTCACCTCTTTTGAGGCTCATCATGGAAAATATTAATTAATTCTTTTGTCATTTCTTATATATTCAACCATCACGAGGTCTTTGGTTGTTTCTTAATTATATAAATATAAACATGTACAGATGTATGAAATAGTGAAGTATCTACACCATGCTTTCTGATTTAGTGTTCTAAATAATACATGTATGAGCCATAACTTTAGATATTTGTAATCGATATTCCTTGGACAGATCTAAGGGTAATTATGCAACTTAAAAAAGATGTATTGTTATTTACAGCAGTCCACAGCTCTTCCATCATAGCGCCGTCCATATTACCGAATATTCTTATAATTATCTTTGTAAAGATCTTTATTTCGACGAATTATTTAGCAAGGATACTTATAGGTACCAAATTCGAATCTTCCGGGAATACAAATTATCATCTTTATACAACTTTATACCACCTACCGGTAGCATGATAAATTCATTATCACTGGTTGTCAGTATGAGAAGAAGTTGAGAGCAACTTGAGAACGGATTTTCCAATTCCCCAGCACAAAAGAACGTCTGCTCGCGCCAGTTTAGAGGTTTAAAGGTTCATTGTATTCCTCCGCGCAAAACTTCTATTTGTTTACGCTTGTCACAGGCGATCGTTGACCATTGAAAGTAAAAGTAATTTGGAAAACATGTACAAATGTATAAGGTAGTAGTATATAGATGATAAATAGTTTATCATACAGTATTTTCAGTGTTTGTCGTTCGAACAATTTTCTCATCGCTCGCACGTAAATAAAATATCGAGTCCACCTGCGGTGGCCTTTCGATTTTATCCACGTGCTCGCGATGAGAAAATTGTTCTCACGACAAACTGTGAAAATACTGTGTGATAATCTATAAATCCATAATAGCAATCAAAACAGTTGACGTAGTATTTTCTCCATCGCAAATCCAACTATCGTGAACAAAGTTTACAATCATAGTTCACAAAATAGAGACATTTTTTTTAGTAAATAGACATATTTATTATCTAAACAGTCAATAAAATGTAATAGTATAATTACCTTATAATCTCAACTGTCAAGTAAGTTATGTCCGCAAGTATAATATATATACAACTTCAAAACATATCCATTTTAAACACATCAATAGAGATTGAATCGGAATTTGTCTGATGCCATGCAAGTATGAACGAGAGGAATTTACTTACACACCACATGTGTTACCTTCGCTAAAGCCGCTCATGTGGTGGGGAAGTAAATTGTTTCCAATTGCAGGAACCTTGGAAAAATCCAGAGTCAGTCCCTATAATTCCAAATCTGATTCTGTGCTTTGAAACAGGTCTGTGATTAGAGAATAATAGCACATGTGAACCAAAAGTCAGCTGTTGATATAAGTTTGAACGTCTGTTTTCTTCATCAGAATTCCTTTAAAATGAGCCATTCTCGTTCGAGTTGTCTCCCATTGCATAAACCAATCTCGTCGTGAAAAGTTTCCTCATTATTCTTTTTTATCTTTGTCTAATTTGTTTATAATTATTAGTATTAGAACTTTTGAAAATAAATCAGATTTAACAAAACCATTTTTGTAATAATGACGCGTTTATCGTCAGACGTACAATATCGACAATATTTATCTGAAAAAGCAAAAACTGAAGAGCTGTTTTTGGGTCACACATATGGGCGTCCGTTTTAGGATAAAATACATAAACAACTTAAGTGCAATACGGCGCACATACTACTATTAACCAATTATAGAACATGTAACAAAGCACAAAATCATATTCGGATTTTTATTTATTCGAGTACAAATAATATAAATAGCATTATGCCAGTAACATTTTAAGCAAACATAACAAGCAAGTTCGTGGAATTTATATCCCCCGCTTGCAGGACATATTGTAGGTTAACATGATTTAGGTTAGGTTTAAACATGTGAGTATCGGGCTGTTGAGCTTGAAACTCGAAGAAAAAAAAAGAGTCTTATACTTCATTAATTACCCGTAAATATGCACGAATCACATCGGTTGACAAACTTAGCATGAGTCGGATGTGCCTACGGAATTTGGTTGAAATATCTGCACAATATCTACAGTATTTTATCAAACGAAATCCAAAGAGTGCCCGAGACAGGTGGAAAAACAAAGGAACACAAACATTGCTATCAAGTTTGAAGGAATTTGGCTAATATTTGCTAGAGTTATTAATCGGAAACTGTAGATAATTACGTTTTCCGTTAATCAAGGGACCATAACTGGAGTCCGATTAAAGTGGTTGTCAAACTTGGCCGAGCCCTGAATGCGTTAAAACCTGTTATTAAGTTTGAAGAAAATAAGTTAACATTTGTTGCAGTTATTGCATGGAAACGAAGCGTGACAGGCACACAGACTGACAGACGGACTAACCCAAATTAATATCCCTCGTTTCGGTGAAAGCGGGGGATAATAAAAAAGATAACCGATCGAAATTAAATCACCTTACATTGCATAATAGAAAGGATTTCCATTTTTTTACGTGGCATTATACATGGCTTTACTTTCAAGATGGGTTATTTTAGAGCCGAAAATAAGTTGTGCATCCAAAACACGGTATCAGAAGACTGATAATCAATTTGGCGCCTTACATTACCGTCACCTGCCATAACACTCCATTCCTCCTTTAAACAAACGGTTTGATTATCCCCTTGTCCTACGTGACTAGGACAAATCGTTACAAGGATAGTGGTTTGTCGTTGCACGGCTTCTAATAATACAACAGAAGTGATATAAAAACAGATGAATATTGCACACACGTGGAGGATAATAACGTACCTATCGCTGGATGTTTGAGCATTATAATGGCTGCTGAAGATATTCCAAGCCAAGCGTGACGTTTGCCTTGAGCTGTAACACTTCAATTTGAACTGTCATTTGATGCTGTACTCTGATTTGTGGTTTATTTTGGACGAACTACCTGACTCAGTAGCACAATACTGTATTTCGATTCAAACACGCTCATTATTTTAAATGGAAGCAAGAAGATCCTTATATGTTAACATAAAGCTTAGCATTATGTGCTGTACTTGCATATTAAGCGCATGTTTGAAACGGAACTTGGATTACTAAGACTTACACTATGACATGCAATGGTCTAAATTTCTAGGTAGCTCTTTTCCAAATCCGTCTTATTGTTTAGCCTTCAATGAATTTCAAGGATCCCTGTTCCACCGCACTATGATCTTTTGTGTATACATTATATTTAAATTTATAACTTTTCTATCTGCTTCTGCATATCATTAACTTTCTTCAAAAAAGACGAAAAAAATGTTCATTAGCAATAAGTTTCCAAGAACATTTGATTAGCGCAGTGTTTAAAGTGTTTTTTTTAACTTTTTGCGCTTTATATATTTTTATTCCAGACATAATTTTAAGTCAAGGGCTCGAATCCCGGTCTTGACCGGCCGTCAATTTGTTACACCCAGAACACTGGTACATATGGTTATGGTCATAGTTATTGGTCAAGTAAAGATGCAGCACACACATGTACTATGTTGTTCAGAAGTTCCGGTCTTACGTTCTACAGAAAAGTTATGAAGAAATCGAAGGTTCTGTAATTGCCGGGCATCTAGTGGATATTCATGAGGACTAGTTTGATCCTTTGCTGTACATCAAAAGAATTGGACGGCAGCTTAAGGGTAGCATTGACCATATTTGAAGTTGGTTGTTGCTCCTCTGTAATATTCAAAAGACAAGTCAAGCGACTGGTGTGTTTTATTCGTAAGAAGCAATCAAATAGCTTGCTACGTGCCTTCGATTTTGCCATGACATACACCAGGTGTGCAGAGAACGGTAGTCAGCGCTATGCATGGAATATCGAGGATGCAGAAGTTCTGTGTATACAAAAATATCTTTGACTAATCATTGTAGCACTTGCCTAGCATTGAAGGCCCGGCACTATTGTTATTTTAAGGCGATATTAAAATACATTGAGAAATCTTCAGCTTGATGCCTGCTGACCCCCCTGGTATTTAATACCAGGAAAGAAATATAATTTCTTCCGGATGTCTTTCTGGACGACTTTGATTCCACCAACATGGCCCCGGGTCTTGGTTTGACTGTCCACCACTGCATTGCTCAGCAACTGATTCACCTACAAATAGAGGCCATTCAAATGATCCATGTTCATCACATTTTAGAATAATGTACCTTGTATTCTTGGGTCTCGTTTTGTTCCATTTCAGTTATTTCATAATATCATATACGTCTCATAAAGTTCTCAAATTCAACTTCGATTCAACTATAAAATACACATACATAGTATCTCGGTAAAATGTCTGAACACTTTTCTATCTGCTTCTGCATATCATTTATAACTTTTCTATCTGCTTCTGCATATCATTTATAACTTTTCTATCTGCTTCTGCATATCATTTATAACTTTTCTTCAAAAAAGACGAAAAAAATGTTCATTAACAATAAGTTTCCAAGAACATTTGATTAGCGCAGTGTTTAAAGTTTTTTTTTTTAACTTTTTGCGCTTTATATATTTTTATTCCAGATATATTTTTTCCCAACCAATTATATTAAATAAGTATACTTGTAAGTAAATTTNCCCCCCGCCCCCTCCTGAACAAATAGGAGGGTCCTCAAATATTCTTCATTCACCATTCACTCTGGATTGGATGTGGATTGGATTATTACCCTGTTTGTGTTAATCTGTCAAAATATATCGTTTCATTCAAACCATACTTAATCAATTTTTTGTCGCATAAATGTTTTAATGCTATTATTTTCTATATTATAGCGGAATGCTAGAATCTATGAGGTTTATAAAGTTAACGCAACATTTCCTGTCTAATACTGTTTCTTATCTAAAACCTATTAATTTAAATCGGTATTGAAACAACAGTTGTGTTGTATCTGTTATAATTTTAAAAGGAGTGCTACACGCTCGTTTCCAGTCTTTGTTTCTAATACAAGCCATTCAGACTGATATGTCTCGCCTGTGCCACAATAACCAAACTTGGACCAATGATGCATCTTAGGAAGTACATCTCAGCCCATGCATCAAATGCTGGATGCGGCCTACCCTTTCATGGTCCATTGACTTTGTCAGCATCTCAACTGGCAACTCTACAGACCCAACCTGAACGTTTTTATTTGCAACTAGATAATCTACATGCAATGATATTTGATATGATCATTTCTAAATCTAAAGGAGAAAATGATGTTAAACATTATGAAACATGAAACATAACATTGCTTTTCTTCAAATGTTTTAAATTACTCTAATAATACAACAAATCGCCGATACTTAAAGGGCAAATTTGTCTAGTTTCTTGTCAGAGGAATACATATATAACATAGGGAGGTGTGCATTGTCACCCCAAAGAAAGACCCGGAATAGTGTGTGACAAAATCGAGCAAAGTGTGTTTTATGGTCCAAACAAAGACGTGTAAAGAAAATTGTGTATTCTAATGTCATGAACAAACAGATAAAGGGACGTATATGACCTAATTTGATACAAGGACAGGTGGGAAAGTTTGTACTGCCATTCCATACATAAATAGGTAAAGAGAAGTTGTTTATCCTCATTCTATGTACAGTACTGTACAGACAGATACACAGCATAGCATATTTTCTTGTTAGATACAAAAATATGTAAGGATTACCTTGAATAACTGTAATAACATTAACAACTCAATCTATTTTACTTCAAACTCATCTTGTCATGTCTCCCTCTTCCTTATAAAACACTCACATTGTCACCTCTCCCCCTTCCTTATAAAACACTCACATTGTCACCTCTCCCTCTTCCTTATGAAACACTCACATTGTCACCTCTCCCTCTTCCTTATAAAACACTCACATTGTCACCTCTCCCCCTTCCTTATAAAACACTCACATTGTCGCCTCTCCCCCTTCCTTATAAAACACTCACATTGTTACCTCTCCCCCTTCCTTATAAAACACTCACATTGTCACCTCTCTCCCTTCCTTATAAAACACTCACAATGTCACCTCTCCCCCTTCTTTATCATTTGCTATTCTGACATATTTACTTGCCTCGTCTTCATTCCATTTACCTTACTCTGTACTCGCCTTCATATCTCTTCTTCAACGTTGTATCAACATTGTCATGTCCCGTCCTTCATTCCTTCCTTCCTTTTGATGTCTCCCTACACTTCTACTCATCTTGTTGTCTCGTCCTCTACCTTTGCACTGGTCTTACATGTATCAAGCTACTCTCAACTTTAATTGACACCAACTTGTTATCTCTCCCTCTAGTTAGAACAATCTTGACACCTCCTCTCACTCTAACTTACTTTCAACTCAATTTGTCACCTCTTCCCCTATCTAACTCTTTCTTACCTCAATATCTCTCTCTCTCTTTATTTAATTTACTCTAACCTTTTCAATCAGCTCAAGAAGGTGAAGTTCGTAGCTGTATGCATAGAAAACATCAAGAAATGCTCTCATAAACCACATCTCCCGTACGTGTGGATCTTTTATCCAAGTCCCATGCTGACCTGCAAAGCAAATCACATTGTACAGGTGTTCTATTCGTATTTTCAGATCATACTGGTGTTATTTTTGTATTTTCATAACAAAACCCCTAATAGTAGCACAGTGTACAATTTGCGTTAAACATCGCTAAATCGAGTGTATTAGTTATACATTTCTTATGCCATCGTTTGACTTCAGCATAGCATGTCTAAACTAGCAAATATAATTAAACCAAGTTTGCAGAGTACCAGAACAGACCACCTCAGCAACTTCACTCCTTGATAAGGAATTTTATTGCATGTGTATATTTCTAATACGACAAGTAACATATAAATTTTTCTTCAAGGAAGTTTAGAGAGTCACCTCTGAACACAAACTCATTTGAAGTATATTCATACATTATATGAAATTGGTTCAAAATCCATTCAGAAATAAAGTAGCTAGAGTGATGATGACAATGTGCACCTGTGACTATGATCTTGAATTCTAAGGGTTCATCTTACTGCCGGGCCCAATCATTGTACCAAGTTTTACTACGATTATACACAAATAAATATCCTTTGGGCGTAGTTAGCTATAGTGTAATCCCAACTTAAACCTATGGCCTTGACATTTAATCTTTAATATCAAAAAGGGTTTTGCTGTTGTTAGGCTCAATTATTGTACTAAATTTTAGCAGAATTTGATAAAATCCCTTTGCACCAAAGAACATATAAGATGTGTCTTCAAGCAATCCCAGTTTTTACCCATGACCTTGACCTCTGGCTTAAAAGGACTCAACCCCATGCCATGTCCAATCAATTTACCACGTGTAAATGAGATTGGACTAATGACCTTTACACCAAAAGTAGTACAAGGTTCATTTCTACATGTATTACTACATGTATACAATTAAATTATATACATTATCAAATATTTCCCCAAACATGTTTTCCTAAGTTAAGCTCACCATGGTACACATGGAAGACAAAAAGGTTGTCCTCGTTGGTTGACGAGTGATCTTCACCAGCATCTGCGACTGTTCTGTCTTCTGGTGGTTCTTGTGCTAAATTATATATTGAAAAGAACTTTTACACAAGTGACGCAGAGATATAAAGCATTAGTTTGACATATAAAGTAACAATAAGCCAATGATAATGTACCTCCCAGGATAAAAGTCATGTTAATGAGGTCATACAAATGTAGGCCAAACAGACCAACATTATTAACTCATTCACCACTGAAATTTCATAATGAACCATTCCAACTTTTGAATCGGAAGAGTTCAAATGTGTCTTCAGGGGTGTATGATTTAACAAATGTGACACACATTTCATTTGCACATCTATAACAATGTATAGTTATAGCAAATGTCAACATGAAGCCAAGAAAAGGTCACTGCATGGTCAAAACCATCGTCACCATCAATCATGCTATACATTTCATTCATATATATCATAACACTGCCCTGATAAACGTTAAGTCAGAACTACAGTGATCAAATGGCATAGTTCAAAAATAACATTATTTTAAATCATAATATAGGTCATTAACTGTTGTATGTGAAATATACCATCATATATTACGTTATACTTAAGTTCAACAAAAAACAGCTACAGGTCTAGTGTCAAATGGAACATAAGTATCAATAAAAATACAGTAAACATACTTTAATTTAGCTTACTCAAATTTTAGCACATTATCAAGTTTTGACAGATTGGGGCTTGGATGAAGGGGCAACCACAAAATATGCCATAGAAAACAATTTACAAGGACTTAAATTGGTGCAGTCATAATTTAGAGCAATATTTAAAGCCGAAAAACGCTAAAACAAACACTACCACTAAAATATATATATTCACAGTATGGTTAACACTGACATATATTGCATAAGGGACTGCAAATGGATGTGTAATTATATGAACTTGTAAATTCTGTGTTTTTCCTGCAATTTTTCTAGACTGATTCATGGTATGGGTTTCGGTAAAAAGAATCTGACAGTCAAGAAAAAGGAAAACAGTTTAAATAATTATTCATGCAATTAGATATAGTTCTAATTTTATTTTCATTTTAAATTGATAGAATTAATGATTTAAACAACATAATTAGTTTGGATTGATACCATGCTTACTAATCTTTTGTTAGTCCTGAATAACGGAATTTAAAGATTTATCACTCAAATGTATTATCTGTGCTTTTATATGGAGCAGATACATGGTAAATGACTTAAGGAGACGGGAAAATTCTAGACACCTTCCTACATAAATTTCTCAGAAAGATACTAAGAATATTCTGGCCAGAAAAAGTTACAAATGAAAAAGTAAGAGAGCTTGCAGGAACTGACAGAATCAGTGACATCATAAGAACAAGACGATGGAGATGGATAGGGCATGTGTTGAGAATGGCGCCCAACTGCCATGCACTGGGTTGGACATCAGAACAGAAAAGGAAATGAGGAAGACCAAAAGAAACCTGGAGAAGGACAATAGAGAAGGAAATGAAACACCTAGGCTTCTCATCATGGTGAGACGCTGCAAAGAAGGCAGAAGATAGGGTGTTATGGAGAGGACTATTCTCCACTTGGAGAGAATTAAGGAACTAAGTCAAGTAAGTCAAGAATTACTGAATTTACCTCATCTTAATTTCCTAATGATTTATTCCAGTATCATCTCTTTTGATTTTAATATTGCTAAAACAAAACATGCTCGAAACGGTGAAATATACTTTATCAAGTTTTATCTACTGTTAAAAACATCATTTAGTTAAATAATCGAATTTGCTTGCGGAGCATGGATGTACACTGTGTGGGCCTGAGTTTGTTCACCTTAAACCAATCAAAGTGCTCACAGAGTGCCTTTGACTTTGTCATGATATATTTCAGGGGTGCAGAGAACATAATAGAGCATATAACCCATGGAATTTCAAAGATGCTTATCTATACATGTAACACGCGAAATTCACACATAGGCCCCAAGTCCCATTGAAAACTAGGTACCTGTCAAGTTTTCATCCAGTATGGTGATCACGATGAATATCTTCGGTTTACCCCTTAAAGCTTCACACTGTTTCACCATGTCTATCATATTGGGTAAGTTCACACATTTATTGTCCCTGTCAAAGACACAGCCGCATCCTGCTCCCACAGGCCCATAGGAAAGGCAGAACATCATGAAGTATCCAGTTCTTTTCAATTCTTCAACATTTTTCTTTATCATTTCTACTGTGTTTCTTTCAAATTCCTTCAAAAGATAAATACAATACAATAATTAGAAAATATTTAAAAAAAAAATATTAATGAAACAAAATGATGGGTTTCAGAGACATGAATGATTTTTATTATTTCTTGAAATACCTGTTCTTGATGGAGAAATGGCAATTTCAACTGAGAATGCATCATTTATAGTTTCAAAAATCATATAACAACATTAATTTCCTTACACATTTCAACTGCAGAAACTTAGTGCATTACTAGTAACTTAACCATATGATACATATGCAGTACATTTGGATGAAGTGTGGATTTTGCAACAGCTTTAAACACACCATTTCACTGGAAACTGGAGTACTCGGAAAAAATACCTGTGGTTCAGTATGTAATACCCTTTCCTGATTTCCTCTAAAACTAAGAGGCTGTCAGCCTCATATTGAGTATGTTAAGTCTGATCCACACTTCAGACTGGTGATTACCACCATGTTTCATCAAAATCTGACAGACAGTTTCTGAGAAGAAGTCGAAAATATGATTGTTTATGCATGATGCACAACTCACAACGACGGACAAAAGCCAGTATTAAAAGGTCATCTGAGTGACCTAAAAACAGAAACTAGTGGTGCAAGATACACTTGACAAATTTCAGCCCCACTGAGCTTAGGGCTCCGGGAATAGCTCTCTTACCAACACATTTTCACACAAGGCACTCACAGAATCTTAAAGTACAACAGAATTTATGACAGCATTTGAATTCATTCACTGACTACAGTATTATATGTATTATAATTTACTCACCTCAGCATTCTTGTTCACAAGCTTAGCAGTACAATTCCCAGTTTTAATTGTTGAGTCTAAAAATGACATGAGATTGTTTAGGCATTGATTACAATTGTCAAAATCTTCACGACGCATTTTGATTTTTTTTTCCAAATCTTCACACATCGCCGGTTTCTGTGGACAGCATTTCAATCGAACAACGAATCCTTTCTCAGGACACTCTGTGATTCTGTAAACCTACAAATATAAACATGTTTATTAGGCAGGTTTAACATCATTCCCGCTTAAAATTTGCCTCCGTCATAATTTTGTCCGTTTCACCCTTTTTGCTTTTTAAATTGACATAAATTCCCCATCCAAATAACAACATAATCACTAGTGATAGGCTGATGATAGATAAAAAATCGATCTGTTTGCCTTTTCCGATTTAGATTATCGATTACAATTTACATAATCGATATAATTGGTCCATCATTGAAATCAAAGTGTTAAATGTTTTCAATGTAAAATATGCATTGAAAGTCATATACTCTTATGATTTTTACCATATTAGTGATAAAACTATATACAAATTGCTTGAAATTCATTCTTTATTAAAGAACGAAACCCAATGTATAGTAGTTAACAACTCTATTTATTGATGTAAAGGAGTGTTCTCACTTTATTTGGGTATTCTGTCCTGTAAAATTACCGTGGAATCAGACAGAAGACGCCTTTTCTCCTCCTCTGTGCATTTTCTACTGTAAACCATGCCTTTCTTTTCTGGCCAACTTTTAACTGTATGTAATAAAAATATAATGTCATAAATATATTAAGATGAATTTTGCCAATTGAGGTTCTTCATCATGTATTAGTAATTGATCATGTTTATCAAATTTGAGTTGGTTAAGGATCTGCTCTTCTGAGGTTATTATAATGTTCAAGTCTCGTTTTGATCTCGTGTAACAGGATTTTATTAAATTTAACAAAAATTATCATTTTAAAAGCAAACGTGCATCTGAAAAATCTGTCAAAAAATCTACAAACCCATAGTTTGCTGGGTTTTTTCTCTCTCAAGTTTTTAAAAATATGCCAATTTGGCAGCCATTCTGAAAATGTGACTTTATTAAACTCTAAGCATGTCAAAATTGTACTTTTTTGACGCTTGCTTAATCACTAAAATTGTCACTGCATCGTTATTGAAGCAGGTTGATTTTTGCTGCACAAGTTTATAATGTTCAATAGTATGAAAATAATATGATCAAAGTGGGAAATTGAACAATATTGGTATTTTATTACTCATTTCTATCAGCCGAAGTCCTTTTGCATTTTGATCATGTAAAAATTGAAAAACAAGGCAAAGTATTGCAAGGTAATCCATAGTCCCCCACCGGTAATGATTTCTACATTTAACAAATAGTACACTAATGTCAAAAGTCAAAGGTCAAGTCATAGGTCACAGTGACATGATTCTTGCACTCTGCACTCCGTCATCCCAAGATGTCCTTGTACATCAAATTTGGTTACTCCAGGTAAAATAGTATAGAAGATATGCCCCAAACAAACATTTTCAAACATTAAGGTCAAAGGTCAAGTCATAGGTCACAGTGACCTAATTCTTGCACTATGCACTCTGCCATCCCCAGATGCCCTTGTACATCAAATTTGGTACATCAAGGTGAAATAGCACAGAAGATAATTCCCGGACAAACTTTTTCAAAAGTTAAGATCAAAGGTCACAGTGACCTAATTCTTGCACTCTGCACTCCCGCCATCCCAAGATGTTCTTGTACACCAAATCTGGTTACTAAAGCGCTTTACAGTAAATAGATATATAATTAATACAATTAGCATGTACAATTTTTGAGGAATTGCTGAGGCTGCATTCCTCATCAGGCGCTAACTACTAGTCCTATGCTACCTGGCTAATATCTTCCTATGTGTGTATGCCTGCGTGTGTGCTGCAGATGTATTGTGTTCTGTTTGTAGTGGGACCGTGCTTCCAACGGCATCTTTTATGGTGCCATCTCACTTGAACGCTACATCACAGATACCGCAACATCCACCCCAGACCATTTTATACCTCAGGGTTGTTGGAGTTGTGAGGGCAGAAGAAAAACATTTTTTTCTGATATTCCATGCAGGCGATGACTTTGGGAATCGAATCCCAGCCGCCTGCGTGGAAGGCCGAAGTGTTAACCACTCATCCAATCTGCCCATGTTATTTATTTTTTCATATTCTCCTTTTAAAAAAAAGTATTCATGTAGCCCAAAACAGTTAGGCTACGACATCCTTAATTCGAAAAACACCATATTTATTACCCAATGGGCCATCCGGCCGAATACATAATGTCTTATTCAGAGTAGGGAGTTGGGCTTATTATAGGACAATGGAGAAGCACTTGTTGGCATTTTTGCATGGGCTTATTTATGGATAAATATGGTAAGAATTTATGTAACAATGATGATGTAGATGAGCAACGATCAGGTGTAAACTAATAACAATGAATCTGTCAACAAATAGCCATGGTTGACCTATATGTAGCAACAGAGAACTAACTGGCATTAAACTTTGGATTATGAAATAAAAGTCAAACAGGTATTCTGACATTTCACCACTGTATAAAAGTTGATGAAAATCTGTTAAGAAATGATGTCGGTAGATCTAGAGTCATTATAATGAATCGCAACACAACGGGATGCGACTTTACAGGAAGGGATGGGATGGACATTTTGATTGATTGAGTGGTTTAACGTCTGCTTCACTACCGAGTAGTTCTGTTATCCAGCAGAGAAGGGATGGACGTGGGTAACACTGTTTTACATATACACCATAACACCTCCCATAAACATCCAGTATCACTAACAAAATTTCCTCTGACACTGACGCCAGACTTAGACATGTCCACAGATGGATGTCTCGTAACACCTATCTGTCAAAATGTCTAAGTCTGGTGTCAGGGCCAGAGAAAACTCAGGCTATAAAAAAATATGGAGGCTTGGCAAAAATGCTTACAAGCATCCTCTGTTGGTATAGGCTGTATCAGAGATGGCTGGACCTGTATTGGCCTGTCAGTTGACAGTAGGGGTGCTGTCACAGGTTGTATCGACTCCTGTTGTATTATTGGCTCCGGCTGTTCAGGTGCTGATTCAGGTTTCATTAATTCCTTTGCCACATGTCTGTTACCACTTTTTTCCAAGGCAGTAATAAATTTTCCATAAGCTTTAGCTCCTCTAAATTTCAACAGGTACAGAAGCTCTTTTGTCTGTGCTTTTGGTGCTGGCTTTTTTAACTGAAATAGATTAAGGTGAAGAGTACCACTGCATCAATTGTAATCGTGAAGAAGAGTTCACATTCAGAGTTGTTTTTAGACTTATAGTATTCTCCCTTCTATATTGAAGAAGAAGCGACAAGAAGGAGTTTCTATCTTCAAGTTATTACATATATATTTATAATTTCCCCTGCAAAGTTTTTCATATGCTTTGCGGCCAATAAAATGGACATTAATTTTGACCTTAAGCTTGTTTAATTCCTGTATGGCATTGTTGATATAGTGTATATATAGGCTTCCCAATGAAAAGTTCCTAAGTTCGACCCTTACATTTGTCTTTTGTTCATTTTTTGTCATTTCTATTTTCAAACATTGAAACAACTAGAATTTTGTAAAAAGTATGGCAACATGTAATTTTTCTGGAATATTTCTTTTGAAAGGCCCGGCTAAAACAAATATTTTACAATATAACAACAATCACAGTAATAAAGTTATGGTAAAAAAAGTATTCTAAAGTTAAGCTAAAAGAAATGCAGGACTCTTATGCAACATTTACTATTGTTCCGTCACGAACATTTACTTATTATCAAATTCAGTCGAAAAGTCTTAACTGTTTTGAAGCTATGACATGGACACGCATTATTATTATATCTCATCTATATATTGTTTGGATTACATTGATTACATGACAGGTAACTAAAACATTGTGTAATCCTCATGTGCTCAAGTTGCTCGGGTCACATTTCCCTTATCCTGTGCCTTTCTAGGAAAATAAACAAGATTGAAGGATCACTCAGGAGTTCTGAGTGAATGAAGCAGAGGACAAAGATTGACTCAGAATCCTAACCTTCCTCATTGTTGTTTTATTGTTCTATTTCAGTATAACTAGATATTTCTTAGTTTTGTTTTAGGGAAACATGATTCTTTATTTTCTCGGAAAAAATCCTATTCCACAATGGTGAAGTATTTGCCCTAACGAAACATGATTAATCTCAGGCAATGTTATGTACGTAAGCAAAATAAGTAACAAATCATTAATATCACCTACATTTCCAACTGTTATGCATTAATGTAGAAAAGATAGCCTGAACAAAGCCCTTGAAATTATGAACCGACACATATTCATCTGGCTGCATGTAATATAATTATACTGATAGAATATAGGTTAATTAGTTGGACTTTTGGAATGTATTTAATTCAATGTAAATCAGACCTGTATACAGGTGTTAAAAATGGAGAGTTGTCTCCCTTTGAATGTAAGCAGTGTCAAGCACTACTGTACATGTTTGTCGATGTATTAATGACCACTGTTTATTGTAATTGTATTGTTTTCTTATGATATTGAGTGAAAAAAAAAAATCAAAATATTTAAGATAAAATAAAAAAAATGAAAAAGTTTTGCCAGGAAATATTCAGCTTTTTAGAAATAAATAAAATTGGCCAGACAAGCATCACAAACCCCTGACAACAGTCTGCCTTGATATTCTGACAGTGTTATACCCAGGTCATGTACTTGTAGGTAATGTATATTTCAATAGTCATTTGGTTTCCAAAAGTATTTATTAGTATTTAGACAAACTGTGCTACTGTACGTATATTTTTTTCAACAAAACAACTATAGTTTCCATGCTCTGTTTCAATTAAAACTAACTCAAGAAAATAAACGGTTAGTACTTAACATCCTTTTAACAGCTACCGGGGCATTTAAGGATGAGCCAGGTTTTGGTGGTGGAGGAAAACCAGAGTACCCTGAGAAAAATCACCAACCTATGGCCAGTACCTGGTAAGTGCCCCGATAGCAATCACTAGCCCTCCACCACTGTGACCCAGTGGTGGAGGGCTAGTAATCGCTAGATGATCAGACAGAGGCCTGAACAGCTCAGCCACCACCACTTCAAGAAAATAAATGCAATTAATTTAACTTAAACTGATACAAAATTTGACCCAACTACTATTATTGGTTTTCTATAACAGTTATGTTTTGAGACACAAACATTTGATTCCCCAACCCATGCTGTTCCAACGGGATTCCTCTAGCGAGAACTAATTGTATAGATCCCTTATTGATATATAAAGCTAATATTCACTTTATTATACCCCCCGCAATGAAGTAATTAAGTGGTGAGAGGGGAGGTATACTGGAATCAGCTTGTCTATCTGTCCATAAAAAAGTTTGTCCGGACAACACCTTCTAAAGAAAGGGACAAATTTCAAACGAAAATTTCCAGATATGATAGCTTACACCTGAAGTTGTGCATCCAGGTATTTTTTTTCATTCTGACCCTTTTTCTTTTACAAAGTGATGTTAAAATGTTAAATGTTAAAAAATCCTTATCTGGACATGTCCTCCAAAACTGAGGGGTCAATTTCAATGAAAGTTGTCAGATATGGTAACAACTATCTGATTGTGTGCATCCAGGTATTCTTTGTCCAATCTGACCCTTTTTTCGGAGTAATGGCCCTTTGTTGAAAAACACTTGTCCAGACAACTCCTCTAAAACTATGGGGCCAATTTCAATGGAAGTTTACAGATATGGTACACGCTTTGTAACTGCCCCCTGACATTGTGCATCCAAGTACCGTAAATTTGCACGTATAGTGAACACTTTTTAGTGAATATTGTCATGTCAAAAAGGGGGTGCACACTATACGCAGGAACAAGTCATTCTTGGCGACACAATTATTACCTACTCTTAAATGATTAAAATCGGTAATCTGTGGTCATGACTGCTGATTTGGCGACAAACACTAGCTGGGCACAAGTTATATTTTTACAGGTAAGTTGACCGGAGGGCATAACCACCGATGCCATTTGACTCTGGACAATAGGCTAGGTAGGAGCGCCATGCTTCAGGGAAAATTATTGACACTTCTCAACACCACAGTTAATACAAATTACAATGCTAGCACTCTATCAGTGATTACCGATTAACAATAGCTCTACTGCAAATTAATTGAAGTTATTTGCAGTCACAATCGAGGGACTGTGTTGTTTTCAATCCTCAACACGTGATGTGAAGACCTCCTGCACTGTTAGAACTACAGACTGATTTGACCGTAAAGGGATTATAAAAAATATGTTTATACTAGAAGCGTGGACATTCAATACATCCCCTTCAAATCTACTTGAAGGGAAAAAAATAAAAACGGAATACACAATTTTCATGATGCTTCATTTTAAAATATTGAAATAATTCACGAGGTTATCGATCACGTGTTTACGTAGTGTTAGACACGAGATCAACATGAAAGTGAGCCGGGAAAAAACATGCACACTATAGGCTTCACGATTTAGTAAAAATCCCAACAGAAATAACATTGAAATGGAGCCTATAATTGAAACACTACATTCTTTATAATTATGGGAAAACCTCTGAGATGTTGAAACATAAGTTGATCGGCAATTCTCTGGCATCGGAATTAGCTACACTTTCTTCGTTTGGTTTACCAACTACATACTAAAACTGACAAATTCTGCAGGATTTGTCCATCATCCACTCGGTATGGAGGAAGACCTTCATGAGCTTGTTCACTCCAAGTAATCAATCGTTAATTTATCGGCGTTATAAACAACCAAGCTACCTTTGATGCTACTTTTCCATTTTGATATCGGTTATTTTCAGGATTTGTTTTCTCCATTTTTTCTCTTTTCAAATTTGACCCCAAAAACGTACCCGCGCACTATACCCGCAAATTTATGGTAGTATGTTTTCATTCAGAGCCTTTAAAAAGGAGTTATGGCCCTTTGTTAAAAAAAAACTTTGTCTGCCTCATAACCTTCTGGGATGATTTCAATGAAAGTTTTCAGATATGGTAATTAACCCCTATTGTCATGCATCAGGGTAGTATTTTTTCCATTTTAACCCTTTTAAGGAGTTATAGCCCTTTGTTAAAAATCTTTGTCTTGACAACTCTTCCTTAACTACCAGGACCAAAAGTGTAATATTCGGTATCAAAATAATAGTTAGAATATGTTGCACACGATGATGATATAATTTTATAGTAATTGTGTCATTTAAATTCTGGTCCTATTTATCATCAAATGAATTCTGAAACTAACTGTTCCTGATTTAAGCTTCCTACACCCATACCTTTTTGGATTTATCTTGTTTTGAAATTCCAAGCAGGGGCCAACGCTGATGTTAAATCTCCATAGGTGTTGACCCTGACTTTGGAGGAAAAATACACAACTTACCAAGATTTTGTCTATGTAAGACTCATCAAAGATGCCCAGGGAAAGCAATTCATCACAAACAGCCTCAGGATCTCCAATGTTGTCGACAATGAACCGATATCTTTGGCGCAGTTCCTCTATGTGTTTAGCTTCCATTGTCTACGACAGGTTGTCTGTCAACCTGTTAGGTGAAGCAACATCATGCGTTTATATGTATACATGTATATGCTAAAATATATTCTTTATGATATGTGAAGAACATTGTAGGAGAGGAAAAATGCATGGCCACTCTCTGACTTGGGTTTGAACCTGGGTTCCTCCGAACTCTAGATAGACAATTTAGCTTCCTGGTAGCTGACGAACGACCCCAGTCTTGTTCACTACATTCTTCCATCTTTTAACAAAGTTACAAAGTCTTCAACCAGAGAAATATATATAAAAAAAGACACAAAAGATCCCATACCACCTTTTGTGTGTATATTCATTAGGTGCCCAATGTAGCTATACATTGTATACGTGTTACATCCAGATGAACAATTATATTTTTTTTTTATTTTTTTTATAGTCTTTCATTTTCATGAATTTTGTTAATGCTAACTGCTCTTTAAACTGAAAATTTTGATTGTTTTGTTAAGGTTAAACAAGCCCCCTAAAAAATGCTGAAGTCACCTTAAATTTCAACCCTGTGATAAGTCATGTTCAAAAACCTCAATTAAAAATCGGAACTTATATATGTTATTTGTATATATTGAACTTGTACATTGGCTATACAAAAAATACATAGCCAGGTCAATGTAGTCCAAAATAAGGCATCATGGCTGATGTCTTCATCAAAATAGCTCACTGAACTTATAACATGTCAATCTCTTTTGCGATCCAACTGAGTTCTGAGAAATGACCCATAATTATAATTTAAAGTTTATTTAAATACCTAGGTCATGCAGAGCTTAATTTCTCTTCTACAGCTAGCTGTTGAGAGGAATTCCGACCTCAAATAAAGATAGATGTTGCCATACGAAACCACAAAAATCATAGTAAAATCCACTGGTAATACATTTTAGCAATTAAAAAATAAGAAAACAAAGGCTATTAAAGGGACATCACGTGAAAAGGCGTTTTTTTTTTTAATGAATATATGTATTGTATACACTTCCACTTATGTTACCTCGCTATCCCCATATTCATAGTCCGTTCCAAATGTCCAGTTTGACCACTTGAATTGTTCGGGAAAGCCCTGCTAAAAATAGCGCCGATAACGTCACCTGACTAGGCAGTAAACACAAGTGGTGCAAGCGAGATGAAACGGTTTCCAAAGGGGCCCCCAGAGAGGGGCCGTCATGCAACTGCAACTTCTTACCGCACTAAGAAACCAAGTTATATGATTTTCTAAGTCCGTATTCAAACTTATTGAACAGTTATTATTCATCATTAGAAGTTAATTGCACACTTGCCAATATTCAGAATTTAAATTTATTAAGCTTTAAACATAAATGTGTTGCCAATAAAATTAAACAAGGGATGGGGCACAAGTTTTTACAATTTATCACAGCCTTCTCCCGTCATACATTTACAATTAAATGTCAACAATGATAATAGGCATAAACATAAAGTAGATATATTTAAATATGTATTGAATTTAGTACCGGAATGTGGCCGGTACAGATGGTGCGGGGCTAAACACCTTCCCTACACCAAGGGACAAACCTTTCTGATTTTTTTTATATGTTGCCGGGGCAGAGGAGGCCGGGTATTCATATTAGTACTAATTTAAATCTTGCATGTAAAAACAAAAATAATCGNATCTGTGTTCAAACTCAGACAAAGATACTAGCGAGCTTAATAGTTTTAGATATTTATTCATAACATAAACAGCGCTAGCATTTCTGTCGATTCCATTTCAGCTTAACCGGCTATCCGGAAGAATACATGCACCGTACTAACTGCTACGGCAGTTATTTTCTCCTTTGAATACTGCCCACCTGCAATAATGATTCCGTAACGTACTCCTTGCGCTATCTTTTGACCATTTGTCAACTTTTCGTTTCGTAGCTGACACGGTAGAACACTTTTCTTTCGCTTACTTCACACGGCCAGTCATTTTGTTTACAAAGAAATGGTGTGCTATGCGCATGCGCTAATAGAGGGAAATCCCTGAACAAAACGTTGGTCAGACAGGTAGAAATACCGATGATTTTCTTAGATTTAATCATTTTTATTAATCTATTTCAGCCAAATCCAATCGTTATTTTCCATAAGGAGTCTCACTTGTTATGTTTATGTAGTATTTGAAAAAAAGGCAAAAAATAAAGTTACTTCACCGTGATGCCCCTTTAAGTAACCTTGATTGATAAATGAACTTTAGATGATGTGCCATTTGATAACATTCTGTGATTATATGAATGCGCTAGACATGTTATAAACATTGAAGCTGAAAAGTACAATAATGCTTGTAAATAACAAGTCTAGCTCTTTTATAAAAAAATGAATGTTAAGAAAGGACATTCCTTGTGGAATTTAAACTGCAGAAATGCCATGCCAGGGGAAAATAATTAAAATTTGAAAGAATAAACGATTTAAAAATCAAGTTTCCCCTGCTTGCTTAGATTGCAGCCAATCCGTTTTAACACACATAAATCCCGTCGTGTCATGCCATTATTGGTAACTACGACGTATACAATGTAAATGTAAATTGTTTAGATGCTTTCTTGCAAATGTTTGACACATAAAAGTCAAACTTTAAGTTAAAATCAATGTCTACACCCAAAATTTTAACAACATCTTCACATTTTACAACATGGTCTTTAAAAGTATAGAAAGATATTATAATATGTGTTTTTTCCCAATGGATATTGCCTGAAATTTGTCAGGATTGGTCTTCATACCATTATTACCATACTGAATTCCTTCCCAATTCAGTAGTAGAAGCCCCTTCTCTTAACTGTTTTAAATCTAGATTAAACATCTGTTGGAAAAATATACCGTCCAAGTTTTATCCTAGTTTTTATGCTACACAACCGGTTAACAGTATGTTACCAAACCAAGATGCGCCTATACTAGAAATTTAGCTAACAACGGTGTCGAAGAAGAGGTAAACAGGGATCTCGAACCACTTGATTAAAATATTACTCTCCCCTTCAAGTGTATTCGTTAATTGAACAGGGTCAGAGTCAATATGCGACAGTGTAGAGATGTATCTACCAATATACACTTACATACCTGCGTATACGATACGAAGTATACCAAGATTGCCTGCCTTATTCTTCAGTTTCTACTGTCGACGCCTATGAACCGAAAGTAGAAAGGGGATTTTATTATTTTTTCCGGAAGTTCTATTTAGAGACTTCGGCCTATCGGAAACACTTGGGCCTCTACGTACCTTATTCTTTTCAATCGGAAATTTTCCGAGGAGTTCCGATTTAAATTTACGGAAATACCCGAAAATTTCGGTCGACTGAAATGTGTAAGAGTTAGATCCCTTCCCCTATAACATATTCAGTCATAGACCTGTAATTAAGGTAACTCGCGCACAATTAAAAACGAAACTAATTCTTTAGAGATAAAACGCTTTATAAACACCTAACGTGGCATGAATTATCAACTATACTTTCTCAATCAATTTTCTCTTGTTTCTGAGTGCTAATTGAATAAAATGAGTTCTCGAATCTGTTTTTAATTAACATGATACATTGTGAAATGAGGAAAATAAAAATAAAATAAAAAACAATGCAAAAGAAAAAAGTATTAAATGCCTGCTTTCTGTATAATTTCCAATGATACTCAACTGAACATCAGTGATGAGCCGAATTTAAGCTGAGCACACACTTTTTACACACTTAATCACAGCATAAAACATACAATTTCACAAAATAATGATAAATATTGATAAGAGTTAGTATTACCTGTACATAACTTTCTTCATAGAGTTACGTATACCTGCATAGTGTTGACTGCACATTATTACCTGATAGTGTTTCCTGTATGCTCTAACCTGCATAGTGTTACCTGCATAGTGTTAACTGTACATTATTACATGCATAGTGTTAACTGTACATTATTACAACATAACATTACCTGCATAACATTACCTGCATAGTGTTACATGGACAGTATTGCCTGCGCAATTTTACCTGGAAAGCATTACTTGCATAGTAGTACCTGCATACAATTACCTGCATAGTGTTATATGTATAGTATAACCTGCATAGTAAATTGTATTACAAGCACAGTTTGACATGCATGGTACATTTTGTATTACCTGCATAACATTACCTGCATAGTATTACCTGCATAGTATAACCTACATAGTATTACCTACATAGCATTACATACATAGCATTACATGCATAACATTACCTGCATAGTATTACCTACATAGTAATACCTACATAGTATTACCTGCATATCATTACCTACATAGTATTACTCACATAGCATTACATGCATAGCATTGCCTACATATCGTTTCATTCATAGTCTTACCTACATTGTATTAACTTTATAGGATTACCTGCATAGTATTACCTACATAGTATTACCTGCATAGTATTACCTGCATAGCATTACCTACATAGTATTAACTTTATAGGATTACCTGCATAGCATTACCTGCATAGCATTAACTGCATATTATTACCTGCATAGCATTACCTACATAGCATTACCTGCATAGTATTACCTGCATAGCATTGCCTACATATCGTTTTCTTCATAGTATTACCTGCATAGCATTACCTGCATAGCATTACCTGCATAGTATTACCTGCATAGTCTTACCTTCATAGCATTACCTGCATAGTCTTATCTGCATAGCATTACCTGCATATCATGCATTACCTTCATAGTATTACCTGCATAGCATTACCTTCATTGCATTACCTGCATAGCATTACCTGCATAGCATTGCCTACATATCGTTTCATTCATAGTCTTACCTACATAGTATTAACTTTATAGGATTACCTGCATAGCATTACCTGCATAGCATTAACTGCATATTATTACCTGCATAGCATTTCCTACATAGCATTACCTGCATAGTATTACCTGCATAGTCTTACCTTCATAGCATTACCTGCATAGTCTTATCTGCATAGCATTACCTGCATATCATGCATTACCTTCATAGTATTACCTGCATAGCATTACCTTCATTGCATTCCCTGCATAGCATTACCTGCATAGCATTGCCTACATATCGTTTCATTCATAGTCTTACCTACATTGTATTAACTTTATAGGATTACCTGCATATCATTACCTACATAGTATTACCTGCATAGCATTACCTGCATAGCATTACCTACATAGTATTAACTTTATAGGATTACCTGCATAGCATTACCTGCATAGCATTAACTGCATATTATTACCTGCATAGCATTACCTACATAGCATTACCTGCATAGTATTACCTGCATAGCATTGCCTACATATCGTTTTCTTCATAGTATTACCTGCATAGCATTACCTGCATAACATTACCTGCATAGCATTACCTGCATAGTATAACCTGCATAGTCTTACCTTCATAGTATTACCTGCATAGTCTTACCTTCATAGCATTACCTGCATAGTCTTATCTGCATAGCATTACCTGCATATCATGCATTACCTTCATGGTATTACCTGCATAGCATTACCTTCATAGCATTACCTGCATAGCATTACCTGCATAGCATTGCCTACATATCGTTTCATTCGTAGTCTAACCTACATAGTATTAACTTTATAGAATTACCTGCATAGCATTACCTGCATAGGATTAACTTTATAGTATTACCTGCATAGCATTACCTGCATAGCATTGCCTACATATCGTTTCCTTCAGTCTTACCTGCATAGTATTACCTACATAGCATTACATGCATAGCATTACCTGCATAGTATTACATGCATAGTATTACCTACATAGTAATACCTGCATGGTATTATCTGCCTAGCATTGCCTACATATCGTTTCCTTCATAGTATTACCTGCATAGCATTACCTGCATAGTGTTACCTGCATAGTATTACCTTCATAGCATTACCTGCATAGTCTTACCTTCAAAGTGTTACCTGCCTAGTCTTACCTTCATAGCATTACCTGCATAGTCTTACCTGCATAGCATTACCTGCATAGTATTACCTTCATAGCATTACCTGCATAGCATTACCTGCATAGCATTGTCTACATATCGTTTCCTTCAGTCTTACCTGCATAGTCTTACCTGCATAGTCTTACCTGCATAGTCTTACCTGCATAGTATTACCTGCATAGTCTTACCTGCATAGTATTACCTGCATAGCATTACCTGCATAGTATTACCTGCATAGCATTACCTTCATAGTCTTTCCTGCATAGTATTACTGCATAGTCTTACCTGCATAGTATTACATGCATCACTCGACTTAACATACAATCAGTCACGCGCTATAAATATATATATATAGATATATCACTGCATTAAAATACCTTAGGTATATATATATAACTATTTGACTGTAATTTAAAAAGTTTCATGTAATCTTGTAAAATTTCATCTAAATGTCTTGAAAAACGCAAGAAAAAAAAGAGCTATTCAACTACGATTCGAATTACCCAAGGAAGTAATGTAACCAATTTTCATAATATATACATGACTATATCTGGTTAAAAAACCGATTAAATGCATATCCAAAAACAGAAACATTCGTAACATTCTTGATAGTTTAATGGAAAAGTACCTAAATGACGACGACAATTGAAAATAAGTAATGATGCATTATACGTCACGTCATCACTGTTGCGAATGAGTTGTTCATAGTTTTCAATGTCCTATTTTAAAGTTAATTAATCATACATGCAACTTCATCAAGTCTTAAATTAGAAATCGCCCTTTACAGCCTCGTCATATATGTATAAAATAGGTAGTGTCATTAATTAAAACAAATGAGAAATAAATAAACGCTGCTCTATTGTTATACGGCATTATTGGTACGGCAGTGTACTGTAGCATATAAAAATGTGACTAAAATCTACACTACTGGACAGTAACATGAACAGAGGAGACACCGCAACAAATGGTAACACATTGGGCTCTCGGCGAGTAAGAGTTATCTCTCTGTCCACGCGCTAGCTCGCGCGCGCTCTTTCGTTTTCAGTATGACCAGAGACCTAAAGTTAATTTAGGTCTATGGTATGACACACGTACACATATGTAAATCTTGGACCCCTTTCATAAAATCTCGCACCCGCCCTTGATTGATGGTAAATATCACTAATGGTAAATGTGACGTGTAAAGTTGAGAAACTGTTTTTATTCAAATTTTATATTACACCTTCCAATCTTCTTAAATTTACACATTACGTTTACCATACTTGCCTACAGCCTATATACCTTATCATTTCGTTAATCAATTTTGGAAAACTTAAACGACATATTCAACGTATTGTCATTCCTCTAACATCGTCTCATTACGGAATTAGATTGCTTTCCAAGTCCGTGGTTTCATTAAAGTTTCTAATTCTTCACTGACAAACATAAACAAACCTAATAAAATTGCAGAAATTGTTTTTCCACACAACAGCTATATGTTTCCTCTTTTCAACTCGTTAGATAAACCTATCAAGAGTGTGTAAACATAATCAGTTTGTTAGTTTCTTTGTATTTTACGTTCTATTTACAGCCAAGGTCACCTATTAGCTATGGCTACCCAATGGTGGATAACACCCTGGCCGTTGTTTCATTTGTCAATCTTTGAATTATGATTTTCGTAACAATGCTTTGTATCGTCAACTTCAAGTTATTGTCATGCCACGATTCGTGGCAATAGTTCCCCCGATCAGGAACAGACATAATGTATTTCTAAGGGATACACATGTTTTCTCGATATGATAGCTATGAACTTTAAAGGAGAGAAAAAAGGTCCCCAAACTCGTGCTGGTTGTCTCGTTAGGGAACCTCAGTATCTGTCATGTGACTATGATAAAGAGCAGCGCATGACATTGACAACAATGACGTATGAGAAAAACGGCGTTTGGACTGCTTGTGTTCGAAGTCGTAAACACGTAAATAGCGAAAGTTTGTGTAAGTAAACGTAAATAGAGGACGTTTCTATAAATAGTCATTAATATAGTAAGTTCTTAGTAGTCGGAAAGTCATATACTGATAAAAGAAGTAAATCGAGAAATATTTGCACATTAGATTTAAAGATTATATTTTCTGAGACGACACTGTGATCAGACAAAAAGTGATGTTAAACATAATCTCAATTTTCCATAAACCAGATCATGTGATATACTATATAATATGAATGTTCGTGGATATATTTTCTCGTGGTTT